CTGTAACCGCTTGTAACCCCATCTAATCGGCAGTAATCCCCTGTCACCCCTTGTAATTTCTTCTAACCCTCTGTAACCCTTTAGATTCACTATAACCCCTTGTTACTCGTTGTAACCTCCTGTAACCCCTCGTAACCCCCTGTAACCCCTTGTAATATCTCGTTACTTCGTGTAACCTTTTGTAACCCCCTGTAACCTCTTGTAACACCTTGTAACCCCCTGTAACCCCTTTGTAATCCCCTGTAACCTCTTGCAACCCTCTGTAACCTCCTGTAAGCCCCTTGTAAGGTTCTGTAACCCCTTGTAACCCCCTGTAACCTCTTGTAACCCCTTGTAACCTCCTCTGATTGCCAGTAATCCCCTGTCACCCCTTGTAACCTCTTGTAACCCTCTGTAACCCCTTAGATGCACTATAACCCACTGTAACCCATTGTAACCTTCTGTAACCCCTTGTAACTCCCCGTAACTTTTTGTAACCCACCATAACCCATTGTAATCCTTTTTTACCTAATGTAAGCCCTTGTAATCCCTTGTAACAACCTGTAACCTCTTGTAACCTCTTGTAACTCCCTGTAACCTCTTGTAACCCCTTGTAACCCTCTTTAACCCCTTGTAATCCCCCGTAACCTCCTGTAACCCCCTGTAACCTCCTGTAACTCCTTCGACCTTCTGTTGAGGGTTGTCCAATACTCACAAATATACTCCATTGGTGTTAGTGGTGATAAGAAGGGTCTCCATTGGTACCAATGGTACGATTGGTACCAATGGAAAAGCACCCTATTCCAATGGTTCTATAGGTGACTATGCATGTCATTAAGGGGACTTAGATTATTTTGTCATGTGGTGTGGCTGGGTACAGGGCAATTCCAATGGTCCATTGGTACCAATGGTACGATTGGTACCAATGGAAAAGCACCCTATTCCAATGGTTCTATTGGTGACTATGCATCTCATTAAGGGGACTTAGATTATTTTGTCATGTGGTGTGGCTGGGTACAGGGCAATTCCAATGGTCCATTGGTACCAATGGTACGATTGGTACCAATGGAAAAGCACCCTATTCCAATGGTTCTATTGGTGACTATGCATCTCATTAAGGGGACTTAGATTATTTTGTCATGTGGTGTGGCTGGGTACAGGGCAATTCCAATGGTCCATTGGTACCAATGGTACGATTGGTACCAATGGAAAAGCACCCTATTCCAATGGTTCTATTGGTGACTATGCATCTCATTAAGGGGACTTAGATTATTTTGTCATGTGGTGTGGCTGGGTACAGGGCAATTCCAATGGTCCATTGGTACCAATGGTACGATTGGTACCAATGGAAAAGCACCCTATTCCAATGGTTCTATTGGTGACTATGCATCTCATTAAGGGGACTTAGATTATTTTGTCATGTGGTGTGGCTGGGTACAGGGCAATTCCAATGGTCCATTGGTACCAATGGTACGATTGGTACCAATGGAAAAGCACCCTATTCCAATGGTTCTATTGGTGACTATGCATCTCATTAAGGGGACTTAGATTATTTTGTCATGTGGTGTGGCTGGGTACAGGGCAATTCCAATGGTCCATTGGTACCAATGGTACGATTGGTACCAATGGAAAAGCACCCTATTCCAATGGTTCTATTGGTGACTATGCATCTCATTAAGGGGACTTAGATTATTTTGTCATGTGGTCTGGCTGGGTACAGGGCAATTCCAATGGTCCATTGGTACCAATGGTACGATTGGTACCAATGGAAAAGCACCCTATTCCAATGGTTCTATTGGTGACTATGCATCTCATTAAGGGCACTTAGGTGATTTTCTGATGTGGTGTGCCTGGGTACAGGGCAATTCCGATGGTCCATTGGTACCAATGGTACGATTGGTACCGATGGAAAAGCACCCTATTCCAATGGTTCTATTGGTGACTATGCATCTCATTAGGGGGACTTAGATTATTTCGTCATGTGGTCTGGCTGGGTACAGGGCAATTCCGATGGTCCATTGGTACCAATGGTACGATTGGTACCAATAGAAAAGCACCCTGTTCCAATGGTTCTATTGGTGACTATGCATCTCACTAGGGGGACTTAGATTATTTTCTCATGTGATCTAGCTGGGTACAGGGCAATTCCAAAAATTCGAAAAATCCGAAAATTTTAGGCTTCCTTTATCGAAGGAAAATAGTGTAACCTGTGTAGTAAAATATGAAAATCAAACTTCAGAAAATTGAGGGAATTTATTAGAGAAGCTTCGAAAATTGTACATGAATGGAACGTTCATCTAGCAATTTTTAGCCGTGTTCTCCGAACATATATTTTACAGAAAACGGTCGTTGGGTGTCCCTGGCTAAATAATAGTCAAATTTCTAAAAAGAAGAATACTTACTTTTCTTAGGTTCTCTGGCAACAATGTCCAATCCAGATCGTTTTCGTAACATTTTCCAAATCGACGTCCAATCTTTGCATACGGGCAGCCATGACTTTACGGAAGTTTCGAAAATCACGCCGGTGTGTAGACTGAAGCGAAGAGCCAGCGAAATTACAACGTGCTCAGTTTATCCCTAATAGACGTGAACACAATCACTCGAACTTCTAATGTCCCTAGAGTGCTATCACGCCTCATCCAATAAAAAGGTGAGATAACAGTTAGGTGGCTTCATTTTCAGAATAACAAAGAATACCGAAAAAGTGAGAAAATTGCATAATCCTTACAAACAGTAATAAGACAATAAGAACAATAAAAAATGTCAAAGTGATATGAAATGTTGCTCACATAACGATGCGTGTTTATAAATCTACACTCATTATCGGCGTGGTCTCAGTTCACGGTTATACGATCAGTTGGAACATGGCTATGATATCTATGTACCGAGAAGAAATACGACTTCTATCTCGGCAAGAAGTCGTGGAAGAAAGAAAACAGCTATTCCGACTGCTCAACGGCGACGCCTTTTTTCCAGAGAAATCGTGGCCTAAGGATATTCGCCTCATATTCTGAAAGAAACCAATAAGTGATAAAGAAACATTCAAACTTCTGCTGTTTTTCCACGGTAACGGGTGCAATCCTGAAATCATCAGTAGATGGATTCTTCTAGCTCAGTCGTGGGCCTCATCCCAAGCTACAGCCGAGAAAAGCACAGCAAATACAATTTGTCAACGACAACGTTGACAGTAAAAGACATCAATGGTTTTACAACGACCTTGATTATGGCAAACTGTTGTACCTCAATGGGTTACCACGACAAACCCCACGTCAACAGTGAAAAGTGACTTCAGTCACTTGAATATAAAACGGCTCTTTTAGGAACCACCAAACTAACAATACAAAGTCATAACCAACAGCATGATATAACCATCCTTTTCGGAAACTCCTCATTGAAAACTTGTTTTGGTTTAAACACTTCAATGTAGATAATGACATTGCGCTAAGTAATTTCAGAAGTTAATTTCACAGTGAATTGAGTACAGTTGTTAAAACCTGTTGCCTCAATACCACTTTGCTAGTTTCGTGCCTTTCCGCGTTGTTTCGGGTTCTTTTAAACAAGTAAGAATTACCAAAAAATAGTGCTTGTGTACAGGAAAGAAGACATTCATATGTCATGTTGTTGTTTGCTCGTGAATCACAATAAACAGAACGAACACAAGAGTGACGCGTTACCTTTCAATTTTATAATGTTCGTACGATGTTTGTTATACTCGCAACACCTTGAGATATTATTAGCGCTAGATATATACGTCGCCCTCGCTTTGTAACTATTAGCGCGTTTCCACTTTGTGTGAAAGCGAACTTGTTTTGCGTCGTTGGCCTATAGAACGAGGAATATTCATAATAATTATTAGCGCGTTTTTTCTTGGTGTAAAAGGCAACTTGTTTTGCGTGGTTGGCTTATAGAACGAGGAATATTCATAATAATTATTAGCGCGTTTCTACTTAGTGTAAAAGGCAACTTGTTTTGCGTGGTTGGCTTATAGAACGAGGAATATTCATAATAATTATTAGCCATTTTTTCTTGGTGTAGAAGGCAACTTGTTTTGCGTGGTTGGCTTTTAGAACGAGGAATATTCATAACAATTATTAGCGCTTTTTTTCTTGGTGTAAAAGGCAACTTGTTTTGCCTGGTTGGCTTGTAGAACGAGGAATATTCATAATAATTATTAGCGCGTTTTTTCTTGGTGTAAAAGGCAACTTGTTTTGCCTGGTTGGCTTGTAGAACGAGGAATATTCATAATAATTATTAGCGCGTTTTTACTTGGTGTAAAAGGCAACTTGTTTTGCGTGGTTGGCTTATAGAACGAGGAATATTCATAATAATTATTAGCGCGTTTCTACTTGGTGTAAAAGGCAACTTGTTTTGCGTGGTTGGCTTATAGAACGAGGAATATTCATAATAATTATTAGCGCGTTTTTACTTGGTGTAAAAGGCAACTTGTTTTGCGTGGTTGGCTTATAGAACGAGGAATATTCATAATAATTATTAGCGCGTTTTTACTTGGTGTAAAAGGCAACTTGTTTTGCGTGGTTGGCTTATAGAACGAGGAATATTCATAATAATTATTAGCGCGTTTCTACTTGGTGTAAAAGGCAACTTGTTTTGCGTGGTTGGCTTATAGAACGAGGAATATTCATAATAATTATAGTGCGCTTTTACTTGGTGAAAAAGCGAACTTGTCATTGCGTGGTTGGCTTATAGAACGAGGAATATTCATAATAATTATTAGCGCGTTTCTACTTGGTGTAAAAGCGAACTTGTTTTGCACCAATAGAACCATTGGAATGGCATCATTTTCCATTGGTACCAATCGTACCATTGGTACCAATGGACCATTGGAATTGCCCTGTACCCAGCCAGGTCACATGGGAAAATAATCAAAGTCCCCTTAATGAGATGTATATTCACCAACAGAACCATTAGAATGACACCCTTTTCTATTGGTACCATTGGTACCAATGGACCATCAGTTTGACGAATCGTATCCGTTTGTGTATATTGGACATGTGTGCTTCTGTTACCCCTTGTAACCTTCTGTAACCTCTTGTAACCCGTTGTAACCCTCTGTAACCTCTCGTAAGCCCTTGTAACCTTCTGTAACCCCTTGTAACCCCATCTAATCCTTAGTAATCCCCTATCACCCCTTTTAATTTCTTTTAACCCTCTGTAACCCTTTATATCCACTATAACCCCCTGTAACCCGTTGTAACCTCCTGTAACCCCTTGTCACCCTCTGTAACCCCTTGTAATCCCTCGTTAATTCGTGTAACCCATTGTAACCCCCTGTAACCCCTTGTAATCCCCTGGAACCTGTTGTAACCTCTTGTAACCTCCTGTAACCCCTTGTAACGCCCTGTAACCTCTTGTAACCTCCTGTAACCTCCTTTAACCCCTTTTGACCTTCGGTAACCTCTTGTAACCCCGTGTAACCTGTTGTAACCTCTTGTAGCCTCGTGTTACCCGTTTTAACCCCTTGTAACCCTTTAAATCCCTTGTTACTTCATGTAACCCTTTGTAACCCCTGCAACTTCTTGTAACCCTTTGTAACCCCCTGTAACCCCTTCTAACCTCTTGTAACCTTTTGTAACCCCCAGTAACCTCTTGTAACCCCTTGTAACGCCCTGTAACCTCTCGTAACCTTTTTTAACCTGCTATAACCCCTTTTTAACCCCCCCCACTGATTGCCAGTAATCCCGTGTCACCTCTTGTAACCTCTTGTAACCCTCTGTAACCCCTTAGATGCACTATAACCCCCTGTAACCTCTTGTAACCTTCTGTAACCCCTTGTAACTCCCCGTAACTTTTTGTAACCCACCACTGAACCCCTTGTAATCCTTTTTTACCTAATGTAACCCCTTGTAATCCTTTGTAACCCCCTGTAACCCCTTGTCACCTCTTGTAGCCCCCTGTAACCTCTTGTAACCCCTTGTAACCCTCTTTAACCCCTTGTAATCCCCTGTAACCTCCTGTAACCCCCTGTAACCTCATGTAACTCCTTGTAACCTTCTGTTACCCCTTGTAATCTTCTGTAACCTCTTGTAACCCCTTGTAACCCCCTGTAACCCCTTGTAACCTACTGTAACCCCTTGTAACTCCCTGTAACCCCTTGTAATCCCTTGTTACTTGATATAACCATTTTTAACCCCCTGTAACCTCCTGTAACCCCTTGTAACCTTCTGTAACCTCTTGGAACCCCGTTTAACCTCTTTCACCCCTGGTAATACCCTTTAAACCCCTTGTAACCTCTTGTAACCCCCTGTAACCTCTTGTAGCCTCTTGTAACCCCCTGTAACCTCTCGTAACCCCTTGTAACCCCCAGTAACAACTTACTGCAGGTAACCCTTTGTAACCCCTTGTAACCCCCGGTAACCCCTTGTAACCTCTTGTAATCCCCTGGAACCTCTTGTAACCCCCTGTAACCCCCGGTAACCTCTTGTAACCCCCTGTAACCCCCTGTAACCTCTCGTAACCCCTTGTAACCTGCTGTAACCTCTTGTAACCCTATCTAATCGCCAGTAATCCCCTGTCACCCATTGTAATTTCTTGTAACCCTCTGTAACCCTTTAGATTCACTATAACCCCTTGTTACTCGTTGTAACCTCCTGTAACCCCTCGTAACCCCCTGTAACCCCTTGTAATATCTCGTNCCCCCCCCACTGATTGCCAGTAATCCCGTGTCACCTCTTGTAACCTCTTGTAACCCTCTGTAACCCCTTAGATGCACTATAACCCCCTGTAACCTCTTGTAACCTTCTGTAACCCCTTGTAACTCCCCGTAACTTTTTGTAACCCACCACTGAACCCCTTGTAATCCTTTTTTACCTAATGTAACCCCTTGTAATCCTTTGTAACCCCCTGTAACCCCTTGTCACCTCTTGTAGCCCCCTGTAACCTCTTGTAACCCCTTGTAACCCTCTTTAACCCCTTGTAATCCCCTGTAACCTCCTGTAACCCCCTGTAACCTCATGTAACTCCTTGTAACCTTCTGTTACCCCTTGTAATCTTCTGTAACCTCTTGTAACCCCTTGTAACCCCCTGTAACCCCTTGTAACCTACTGTAACCCCTTGTAACTCCCTGTAACCCCTTGTAATCCCTTGTTACTTGATATAACCATTTTTAACCCCCTGTAACCTCCTGTAACCCCTTGTAACCTTCTGTAACCTCTTGGAACCCCGTTTAACCTCTTTCACCCCTGGTAATACCCTTTAAACCCCTTGTAACCTCTTGTAACCCCCTGTAACCTCTTGTAGCCTCTTGTAACCCCCTGTAACCTCTCGTAACCCCTTGTAACCCCCAGTAACAACTTACTGCAGGTAACCCTTTGTAACCCCTTGTAACCCCCTGTAACCCCTTGTAACCTCTTGTAATCCCCTGGAACCTCTTGTAACCCCCTGTAACCCCCGGTAACCTCTTGTAACCCCCTGTAACCCCCTGTAACCTCTCGTAACCCCTTGTAACCTGCTGTAACCTCTTGTAACCCTATCTAATCGCCAGTAATCCCCTGTCACCCATTGTAATTTCTTGTAACCCTCTGTAACCCTTTAGATTCACTATAACCCCTTGTTACTCGTTGTAACCTCCTGTAACCCCTCGTAACCCCCTGTAACCCCTTGTAATATCTCGTTACTTCGTGTAACCCTTTTGTAATCCCCTGTAACCTCTTGAACCCTCTATAACCTCCTGTAACCCCTTGTAACCTTCTGTAACCCCTTGTAACCCCCTGTAACCTCTTGTAACCCCTTGTAACTCCCTCTAACCTATTTTAACCCCTTGTAACGCCCTGTACCCTCTTGTGACCCCTTGTTGCCACCTTTAACCCTTTTCGACCTTCTGTAACCCCTTGTAACCTTTCTGTAACCTTTTGTAACCCTTTGTAACCTCCTCTTACCCCTTGTAACCCCCTGTCACCCCTTTTAATCCCATGTTACTTCATGTAACCCTTTGTAACCCCTCCAACTTCTTGTAACCCCTTGTAACCCCCTGTAACCCCTTCTAACCTCTTGTAACCTTTTGTAACCCCCAGTAACCTCTTGTAACCCCTTGTAACTCCCTGTATCCTCTCGTAACCTTTTGTATATATAACCCCTTGTAACCCCCCCTCTGATTGCCAGTAATCCCCTGTCACCCCGTGTAACCTCTTGTAACCCTCTGTAACCCCTTAGATGCACTATAACCCACTGTATCCTCTTGTAACCTTCTGTAACCCCTTGTAACTCCCCGTAACTTTTTGTAACCCACCATAACCCCTTGTAATCCTTTTTTACCTAATGTAACCCCTTGTAATCCCTTGTAACCCCCTGTAACCCCTTGTAACCTCTTGTAACCCCCTGTAACCTCTTGTAACTCCTTGTAACCCTCTTTAACCCCTTGTAATCCCCTGTAACCTCCTGTAACCCCCTGTAACCTCCTGTAACTCCTTGTAACCTTCTGTTACCCCTTGTAACCTTCTCTAACCTCTTGTAACCCCTTGTAACCCCCTGTAACCCCTTGTAACCTTCTGTAACCCCTTGTAACTCCCTGTAACCTCTTGTAACCCCTTGAAACCTCTCGTAACCTCTTGTCACCCGTTGTTAGGCCTTGTAACCCCCTCTAACCCCCAGTAATCCCCTGTCACCCCTTGTAACCTCTTAGATCCACTATAACCTCCTTTAACCCGTTGTAACCTCCTATAACCCCTTGTAACCCCTTGTAATCCCTCGTTATTTCGTATAACCGCTTGTAACCGCCTCTAACCTCTGTTAACCCCTTGTAACCTCTTTTTACTCCTTGTAACGTCCTGTAACTTCTTGTATCCCCTGTAACCCCTTGTTTTTCCTCGTAATCCCTTGTTATTCTTTTTTACTTTATGTAACCCCTTGTTTTCTCTTTAACCCCTTGTAACCTCTTGTAACCCCCTGTAAACTCTTGTGACCCCTAGAAACCCCCTGTAACCTCTTGTAATCCCTTGTTATTTCATGTAACCCCTTGTAACCCCCTGTAACCTCTTGTAACCCGTTGTAACCTTGTAACCCCCTGTAACCCTTTTTAACCTCTTGTAACCCCTTGTAACCCCCTGTAACCTGTTGTGACCCCTTGTAACCTCCTGTAACCCCTTGTAACGCCTTGTAACCTCTTGTAACCCCCTTGTAACCGAAGTCACGCGTATTAGTGTCCAACCGCTTTATTTTATAAATCACCCTCCTACGGTACTGTACAACCAAAAATACAAAGAATACGAAATTACGAAAAATGTAGAAATCAGTACAAAATAACAAATACATCAAAGAAAACGGAAAAGCGTACAAATGGCGTATGACTAAAATTTACCTTAACGGTTTCTTGACTTAACGTTAAAAGGGATGAGCTGTTCTTGACCGATAAAAATTGTAAAAAACACTGACCGACAAGACTAAGTTTATACCAAAAAACTTGACAGATTACGTAACATTACGCAACGATGGTGACACCAAAAAGAAAGTAAACAATATAACCTCTTGTAACCTCTTGTAACCTCCTTTTACTCCTTGTAACGCCCTGTAACTCCTTGTAACCCCTTGTTTCTCTTCGTAACCCCTTGTTATCTTTTGTTACTTCATGTGACCCCTTGTAACCCCTGTAACCTGTTGTAACCCCTTGTTTTCTCTGTAACCCCTTGTAACCTCTTGTAACCCCCTGTAACCTCTTGTAACCCCTTGTAACCCCCTGTAACCTCTTGTAATCCCTTGTTATTTCATGTAACCCATTGTAACCCTCTGTAACCTTTTGCAACTCGTTGTAACCTCCTGTAACCCGTTATAACCCCGTGTAACCTCCTGGAACCCGTTACAACGCCCTGTAACCTCTTGTAATTCCCTGTAACCTCCTTTAACCCCTTTTGACCTTCTGTAACCCTTTGTAACCCCCTGTAACCTCTTGTAACCTCTTGTAACCTACTGTTACCCCTTGTAACCCCATGTAACCCCTTTTAATCCCTTGTTACTTCATGTAACCCCTTGCAACCCCTGCAACTTCCTGTAACCCTTTGTAACCCCCTGTAACCCCTTGTAACCTTTTGTAACCTCTTGTAACCCCCTGTAACCTCTTGTAACCCCTTGTAACCCCCTGTAACCTCTCGTAACCCCTTGTAACCTGCTGTAACCCCTTGTAACCCCCTCTGATCGCCCGTAATCCCCTGTCGCCCCTTGTAACCTCTTGTATCCCTCTGTAACCCCTTAGATGCACGATAACCCCCTGTAACCACTTGTAACTCCCCGTAACCCTTTGTAACCCACTTTAACCCCTTGTAAACCCTTGTTACTTCATGTAAGCCTTTGTAACCCCTTGTAACCTCTTGTAACCCCTTGTAACCCCCTGTAACCTTTTGTAACCTCTTGTAACCTGCTGTAACCCCTTGTAACCCTATCTAATCCCCATTAATCCCCTGTCACCCCTTGTAATTTCTTGTAACCCCCTGTAACCCTTTAGATCCACTATAACCCCTTGTAACCCGTTGTAACCTCCTGTAACCCCTTGTAACCCCCTGTAACCCCTTGTAATCCCTTGTTACTTCATCTAACCCCTTGTAACCCGCTAAAACCTCTTGTAACCCAGTGTGACCCCCTGTAACCTCTTGTAACCCCCGGTAACCTTTGTAAGCCCTTGTAACCCCTTGTAATCTCTTGTAACCTCTTGTAACCAACTGTAACCCCTTGTAACCCGATCTAAACCTCCAGTAACCCCTTGTAACCTCTTGTAACCTCCCGTAAGCCCTTGTAAGCCCCTGTAACCCTTTGTAATCCCTTGTTACTTCATGTAACCCCTTGTAACCCCTGTAACCTCTTGTAACCCCTTGTAACCCCCTGTAACCCCCTGTAACCCCTTGTAACCCCTTGTAACCTCTTGTAACCCATTGTAACTCCCTGTAACCCTTTGTAATCCCTTGTTACTTAATGTTACCCCTTGTAACCCCCAGTAACCCCTTGTAACCCCTTGTAGCCCACTGTAACCGTTGGTAACCCCTTGTAACCTCCGTAACCTCTTGTAACCCCTTGTAACCTCCTGTAACCCCTTGTAACTCCCTGTAATCTTTTGTAACCTCCTGTAAGACCTTGTAACCCCCTGTAACCCCTTGTTACTTGATGTAACCTCTTGTAACCCCCTGTAACCTCCTGTAACCCCTTGTAACCTTCTGTAACCTCCTGTAACCCCTTGTAATCCCTCGTTACTTCGTATAACCTCTTGTAACCCCCTGTAACCTCTCTTAACCCCTTGTAACCTCCTTTTACTCCTTGTAACGCCCTGTAACTCCTTGTAACCCCCTGTAACCCCTTGTTATCTTTTGTTACTTTATGTAACCCCTTGTAACCCCTGTAACCTGTTGTAACCCCTTGTTTTCTCTGTAACCCCTTGTAACCTCTTGTAACCCCCTGTAACGTCTTGTAATCCCCTGTAACCTCTTGTAATCCCTTGTTATTTCATGTAACCCCTTGTAACCCCCTGTAACCTCTTGTAACCCGTTGTAACCTCCTGTAACCCGTTTTAACCCCCTGTAACCTCTTGTAACCCCTTGTAACCCTTTGTAACTCCTGGTAACCCCTTGTAACCTCTTGTGATCCCTTGTTACTTCGTGTAACCTCTTGTAACCTTTTGTAACCCCCTGTAACCTCTTTTAATCCCTTGTAACCCCCTGTAACCCCTTGTAACCCCCTGTAACC